GATTAGTTCCTCCACATAGCGGCCTCTATTATTGCCGGCGGGACAGTGCCATAGCGTGGAGTGCCCGTTCACATCTGCGCCGATGATTGTGCGCGTTTCACTTTCGAGAATTGACCTAAGTTTTTCGGTGAAGGTTGGTGTCGGCATGTTGTATTTAAAATATGCCGACACTATTGTTACGCATGATGTTTGACCTTCCGCGATTTTAACTGCTGCAATGTGCTGGCTAGAGAGGGCTGTGAGCTCGATGATCTTCAGCCAGGGAGCTAGTACCACTATAACTGCGCCTGGATTTTCGCTGAAGCCTGTTTGCCTGCAGTTCTCGAAAGCAAAGGTGCGGCCGTTATTCGTGATTGGTTCTTGGATCAGGACTATGTCAGCCTTCGTCCTGTCACAATAGTCCCTAAGCTGTAGGCTAGCAGCTTGTTGTCTGTTGACGTTGTGCTGTATTATATTCAGGGACTTGGTCATTGAGTACCAAAGTCCGTCCGCCTGAGCAGGTTCCGAGTCGCCTGTCCCTTGGCCTTACATGTCGCACTGGACGCTTTATGCGGTCCCTTACAGTTAGCGCATTTGAGCGTGCTCTCTTTGCAGGTGCGCGAGTCGTGCGCCCCTGCGCAGTTTCTGCAGGTCGGAGCTTTCTGCTCGCACCTAGTGGCAGTATGGCCATATTGTTGGCAGTTGAAACACTGCGGGAGGGAACTATGCACTTTACATCTGCACCGCGTCATTCCAATGTAAATTGCCTTGTTTTCGATCTTTGAGACAACGTTCGGTGACGTTTCGAGCACCCAATGAACCACATCCCCATCTTTGGGGCCCAACTTGTGAAGTGGCTTAATACATGTGATTTCGTCTTGTGTCAGGCCAAGCCCGCTATTTTGCGCTGAGAGACATTCGATTAGTTCGTCCTTATCGATGTTGACGTCTACATCATAAAGAATCACCCGTGGCCTTTTAGGACCTATTTCAATTGCTTCCTTCATGCCTCTCATCACCTCCAACGTAACGTCATCATCCGGGATGATTATCAGCGACTTTCCACTGACAATGGTTTTTGCCTTCGGAAGTTTCGTTTTGGTTTTAACTGTTTCCCAAACACTGGCCTTAGCCCGGGTTACCGACATTTCTTGTGGTATCTCAATTAGAAATCGTGATGATGCTTTGACATTTCTACTTTTTATGTACTGATCCTTATCGTTTGTCTTTTTTGGCTTATTTACTGTTTTGGGCGGGGCAACTGCCGTCTTAGCGGCATATGTTGGGATTGGTGCCGGATCTGGTGCTGGTACCGCATCAGCGTTCTTAAGAGCCCTGAGCTCGCTCGTTAGACTATTTACTTCCAAATTCTTGGAGTCAAGTTTGTTGATAAATATCGTGAGGCTTTCTTTTTGGGCTTTCTCCTTGCCCTTCACTTCGCCCTCAAGCCTGCTGTTTTCGTGGGTGATAACCCGTGTAATGGCTCTAAGCCGACTGAGCTTATCCAGCATTTTTTCGGCGATCAACACGCCAATCTTTTTCTTATCCTTTTCTGTTATGATTGTGTGCTCAAGCCATCCGATGACCTCGTCTATTTCCTCCGGACGCTTGGCATTCGTTTTAGCCTGCTTTGCAGCCAGTCCGCTTGGCGAACCCGGAGAGGGTGGGCCTCGCTTTTGGCTGCAGCTAGCAGTGCCCATGTCACCACTTGGGCCCGCGGCCTGTGTCATTTCGACGTCGCTTGGGTCGTCGTCCTCCTCATCGCCGCCTCCCCTAAGCCTAAGCGGGTCCGAGTAGCAGTTTCTGTTAGGCAAGATCGTATCTTCATAATCCATATTTTTCCAGTCCATGTTCGATTGCACATTTCCTGAGCTATTGATGACGACCTGTGTGGCGAGCTCACCCACACCTGCCGGGTCTGAGGTTTCCGAGGCCTCTGTACCAGTAACAACTTTTCTATTATATTGTGTATTCATATTAGTATTGTTATGGGGGGCTGCCCCGATAGCCCTACACCCTCTGGCCGCCGGCGGGCTAGTCCGGCGGTTGCATCAGTACTGCCTAGGGGTTAGTGCGGTCCGGGGTCGGCCTGCCCCGGACGAGGGTTAGTGTGAAAGCCTCTTAGCGACTGGACAGGAGTCCAGCCGGGCGGGGTCACCACGACAAGGTGGGCTTTCGTCGACCCCGCCCCGCATTAGGTCAGTCTGCGCGCGTAGAGCATCGGATAGGCACAGTGGCAACCGATAGGGACAGTGTGGTAATAACGGTTAACACCGACTACCAAACAGTCTCTTTCGCGGTTCAGAACCAGTTGTCCCGCACTACCGATTACAATACGAATAATAACGGTACACGAACACGCCCGGACAAAATTCCGACCCCCGCGGTTGAACTCGAATTTCCGTCAGGCTTCGTAACAGCCCTATTAGATTCGCAGGCGCAAAAGTCATACGTAAACCCGATAATAGCCCGTAAATACGGCAAGACAACCCCTCACGGACCACCAAACAAAGTCCGAATGGCGGACGGTCACACTGCAACAACCAGTGGCACCTCCACATTCGAAGCTAGAATAAGGGCGCTCGACATAAAATTCGAAGCAACTATTCTAGACAACCTGTATCGCGACGCGTTACTAGGGCATGACTTTCTTATCGACAATGAAGTCTCTTGGGRTTACGCCGCGTGCACGATTCATATGGGTAAACAAATTCGTACGTCGACATGTTGGAAAGGGAAGACGCAACCACCCGCCACCAGACCCGACCTATCGCAATTAGAATTTGGTAACGACACCGAATYGCGCGTAAAACTTWCCKCGGTATTAAATAAATACGCGGTAGTGTTCACCGACAAAGTAGGACGTACCAAACTAATTGAACACGAAATTTTGTTAAAAGACCCATCAMCAATCGCGCTAWAACCATACCCGTACCCACAGCAGAAGCAAACGGCTATCGATGATATGGTGCGCGATATGGAAACACAGGGGCTCGTAGAACCTAGCACTTCGCCGTGGGCCGCACCAGCAGTATTGGCAAAGAAAAAAAGACGGTTCATTTCGTCTCTGTGTCGACTACAGGAGGCTCAACGAAGTAACGGAGTCCGACGCGTACCCAATGCCAGATCTCAACAAGATGATTAGGCAAATGCGGGGTGCAAAAGTATTTAGTATTCTCGATCTTAGGAGCGGTTACTGGCAAGTACCACTACATAAAKATGCGYGAAAATACACTGCTTTCCGGACGCGTAGAGGCTTATTTCAGTTCCGGGTCCTACCTTTCGRTCTCAAGAATWGTCCGATGACCTTTGTAAGACTCATGAACGAAGTCATGAGGGGGTACCAAGATGATTTCGTACAAGTATACCTAGACGATATAGTAATATTTTCACGGGACGAGTACGAACACCAAGGCCACCTAGACAAGGTTCTTGAACGTCTTAAGAGGTTTGGGCTAACGTGCAACACAAAAAAATGTAAAATCGGTTTACGCGAAATTTCATTTTTRGGGCACATTTTAGATTCGGAAGGGATAGAAAAACAACCGGAAAAATTAGTCTGCATCGAYAATTTTCCGGTTCCACGTAAGGTAAAGGACGTTCGAAAATTTTTGGGAGTGTGCAACTGGTAAAACCAGTTCGTGGATAACTACGCGGACACCATAGCGCCCCTAACAAATTTATTAAAACAGGGGGTTAGGTGGAGGTGGACAGATGTTGAACAACGCGCGTTCAAATCAGTAAAAAACGCGCTAGTCACATCACCAAAATTATCTCCGCCCGATTACAGCAAACCGTTCTGTCTACAAACTGACGCAAGCGAGATAGGCGCGGGTGCAATTCTATTCCAAAGGGGTGACAGACCTGAGGAAAGACGCATAGTGTCCTACGCGAGCAAAAAGTTTAACGAGACACAAACAAGGTAYGCCGCGGTCGAACGCGAGTGCTTGGCTGTAATATGGGCGACCGATAAATTTCGTCCCTACCTAGAGACCCGGCGATTTGAACTCCTTACCGACAACTCGGCGCTGACGTGGTTACATAGGGCCAAGGACAAAAANAAAAAAAACAAATTTTACAGGACGTAAAAGTAAACAAATTAATAAACCTAATTTTAAACAATTCATTTAGGGATAAAAATAATAAATAATCAAAATATACTTGATGATTATAGTATACCGACTATTCCCGTCACTACAGGCACGGTGGGTTATAATATGTACACCGATTATTTTCAATATTATGTCTAAAATGGTTTGAAAATAATGATGTTTCCATCATAAATATAAATGATACCTACTAGTTTTATAACACGTAGAAATGAATGCCACTAAAATAGACCTATTTTTGTGTAATTCATGATGAATTAAAAACTATAAATAAAATATAATACACTTTATCATGGACACAATATTGAAAAAAAAAAAATAAGGAAATTCTCAGTAAAATGTCTTGTATAAAATTATACGCACTACCAACTTGTATTTATAACACAACATGAGCTTATTTCTTATTTAATTCGTTAAGATAAGGTAGAAAATATTATTAAAATGGTGGGTWATTTTTTGTACCACCATGCAGCAACGGTTTCTAATTTGGTGGGTTATATTTTAACCCATCGTGCTTCAAAGAGTTAAGCAAAAAGTTAGGGATACAACCAAGCTCGAACACCGGGACACCGGTAAAGTTCAGCAAGGGCGACGTAGTATACTACAAAGCACACCACCTATCAAAAGCACATTGCAATTCTCATGCTGGGTTCGCACCTAAATGGTGGAGACCGGTATGGCTGGCGAAGCAAGTCGGAAAAGGAGTTTTCCTGACCGACCAGCAGCCACCGCGGAAAATACATGTGTCTTGCCTAAAACGCGCACCCACGGGACAAAATTAAAAAAAAAAAAAAATATTAATTTTTCTGCTGACATCACCACACCCACACCAAATAAATCGCGTGTTTTCTTTATGTGATGTTTTTGTTGTTTTTTTTTTTCCTCTCCTCTCACGTTGTACTCATAGACAGAATGAGCGGGCAGCAACACAACGGCCAGTGGCAACCGGTAGCTGACCTCATCAGGCGTTTGGGATTGGTGACTGGAGACGCCGACGCCCCACAGACTGCAGCACAGGTGGCGCGAATGTCCACCGCACAGCTGTTGCAAGACCCGGTGCGGGCGGCAATCTACCGCCGCGGGTGGGAGGAAAGGGCGGCGAGCATCCAGCGAACACYGCAACAACAACCGCAGCCGACCAGTCGACGCCCGCAACCAACGCCACCATCACCACAGACACCGAGTCAACGTCCCCGCCACTCGCCGGCAAGACGGCCGCAGAACCAAGCGGCCACTAGCACGTCGAGTCGACCGAGCTTCGCGACACCAAGGGCACCGGCACCGGGGCCCAAGGTGTCCGGGGCGACTCCTCCCCCGCTGGCGAAGGTAAAGACGGAGGCACAGCAGGCGAGGAACCGTAAGAAGTTTCAACAGCTGAAGGAGAAGAAGAGGGCTAGGGAGCGATYGGCAAGCCAACAGCACCGGCTAGCCAACCAACCTACGCCCTATTCGGATCTGGAGGCCGCTGGCAGTGGTCCGTCGGAACCGACGTCGACGGCAGCGATGGAGGTAGATGAACCAGCGCCCAARAGCTTAAAACTCGAGGAGCAGGCATCATCCACCAGCCAGGAGCAGCCTAGCCAGGACACGGACGCGCGCGACGCCGCCGAGGACGCCTGGCTAGCAGCGCCAGGCCCGTCGTTGGAGGAGTTGCCGGAGACAGTGTATGACAACTCGTTCTACACTCCGGTGACGTCACCCCACCATGACTAAGGGTAGCCAGGAACGCGAGACTACCTCAAGCCACAGCGAGAGGTAGAACAAGCTGACCTACACCCAGGACATACCAACACCAGTACAAGTGTACCCCGGGTGGTGGTTTGGCGGGGGAGTATGACACGGTACGCAGCAGCAGCCAGTACAAAGTACAGGCACCGCCGCGACCGAGCTACGACCTTATCAACCACCACCACGGGTGACAACGACACGACATCGTCGACTCTCCCTCCACGCCGGAAAGGCTAGGCGGGACGGGAAGACAAGTCGTGCCGGACGAGTACCGGCCGCCGCCGGGCTCTCTCTCGTTCACCGATATCCGTGTGATACACACCGACGTATACCCGCCGACACTTTTTACGTCAATCATACGCACATAATTCTATCGTAAAGCAATAAACGTGGTAATCCCACATTTTCATCATTATTAGTGACCAATTGTGTTGTTTGTTCTTTCTTTTTACACCGTCACACCAACCTCACCACCATACGTTAGCGACCGGTCTTCCGCGGATCACCACCTTCATCGTCGCCGCCGAAGCCGCGTCATGGTGCTACTGCATCTCTCAAAAATTCCAAATGAGCCGCCCATGGCCAATTTTTGTATTTTTTGCCAGATCCGGTAGATCCTTTTAAATACTTTAAATACTTCATATAAGAATCACGCAGGTTCTTCCATTTCTGTTTCACAATTTCAGCTGTCATACAGTACAAAGTATATACAATAAATAGGTACATAAATACTAAAAGAAAAAATTTAGAGTATTTAAAGTAAATTATATTTTATTTAAAGTAAATAAACATTATGTTTTTAATCGCCGCAGAGCTGAGAAACTGCGTTCATTAGATGCAGTATTTGTAGGAATGGTTAAAAAAATCTTTAATATATTTGTATAACTTGGGAATCCAGTCTGTATATCATTAGATTTAATATAATTAATCTTTTTTGTAATTGAATCGCATTCATGATTTATAAATAATCTATTTAATATTTTGATCTCATTTGATAAATCATTTAATTCTACTTTGTAAGTATTAGAAACTTCCTCTATTGACTGATTACTCGGACTTTCATTAAATAAGACATTATTCATAGAATTTAATAAACTTAAATCATTTTCCTTAAATTTACTGTTCATACACATTATTACTGTATCTATAATTCCATAAAATACGTTTATACGGAAATGGTCTTGAACAGTCTGTAATGTTTGTTTTTTACCACCACCTAATTTTAATGGAAMTGATTTTATTCGTGGTAAATTAGGTTTACTAAAACCATTATTTTCCGAGATAATAGCAGCCTTATCCCATACTTTCTGAAAGTTTTCATCTGCCCTTAATTCTTCAAAACTTTTTATAGTTTCATTAACCATTTGACTAACTAAACCATAATTTAATGTTGTTGATTGCAAATATTTGGATAGGACATTTGTCTTTAATAATACATCTTCCAGTAAAATTAGAGAAAATATAAATTCAAATGTCTGTATGCTTCTTAATAAAGCAGCAGCATCAGATCCAAATTCTCGATCACTTTCTGCTATTTCAGCCAATGTATCTATTACAGCAGTTAAATTATGGAACACTGATCTTAAGGCTTCATAACGGCAACTCCAGCGTGTATCGCATAATGTTTTGARTGTTTTAGGTCCTGCATCAGAACTCAACATTTGTTCAAAAACAGAAAACCTTTTAGAAGATGCTCCTATAAAACTATATAATGTTCTTAATGTACCAAACATATTTCGAACACAAGCTATTTGTTTTGCTAAGTCTACAAGACATAAATTCAAGATATGAGCATAGCAATGTACATAAACTGCTAAGCTATTTTCTTTCCTTATTCTGGCTTGAACGCCTTTATAGGCCCCACGCATTGATGCAGCGCCATCGTAGCACTGTCCTCTGATGTTTTCAATTTTTAGTCCGTTAAGTTTCAACACTTCTTTAATTAAATCAACAAGAGATTCTCCATCTGTTGAGTTTGTACGATAAAATCCCAAAAACACTTCTTTTGGCTCTAAATTATGTACATACCTTATGAACACAGAGACTTGCTCATGTCGACTTAAATCTTGTGTTTCATCAATAAGAATGCTAAATATTCCAGCAGACTGAATTTCTGATATAATTGATTTTAAAACATAATCACTCATATAGGTCAAAAACATATTTAAGTATGAATTATGTACATAGTTAAATGATTTTTCTTTCTCCGAGTAATATCGTTGAATTAGATTATTGTCTTTTGCTCTAAGAGTTAATAGCTCAATAAAGTTACCTTTATTTATTGATTTGGAATMCTCTTCATGACCTCTAATAGCTATCCCTTGCTTAGCACAATAAAGAAGAGTTTCCAAAATATTTTTTAAGTAATTGCAATTATCAGATACTACTTTACTATGGTTTTTGTCAATTAACCCAATTATATTTCCAGAACTTGATAATGATTGTTTATATCCAACAACTTTACAAAGCGCTTCTTTATGTGAATTGCTTTTTTGATGAATAGAAAATCGTTGAGTTGCTTTTCCCCATTTCTTAAATCCACATGAAATAAATGCTGTTTCCATACCAACTGTAGGAAAAGCTCGACAATAAAAACAAAAAGCTGAATCTAATTCTTGACTATATTCTAACCATTCATATGACTTATACCATTCTTGCCTAAATGTTCTACCAGAACTACGGGGAAATACAATATTAACTGGTTGATATGGACCCAATTGCATTGTTAAATTTATATAAGCTTGTTCTTTACCTTTTGCTGGGCCACGTTCTGAAAAATTTAATGTAATATTCAATAGAAATCACTAACATTTATGTAAAATAAAATAAAATGATCACAATCAGCAGTTATGCCCAATTGGTGTAGGTACAGATATTAAACAATACCTATTACCCAATATATAAATAAGGCTACAAATAACATAACAAGGATGATTAAAATATCTATTTATTCTCAACAAAAAAACATTTAGGTAATCTGAATGATTTAATTTTCTCAATGGAACATTAATATAAATAATACATTATATGACAAGCAATATTATTATACTATAATAGAATACAAACAACATATAATTATTTATTAAATATGATATTAATAAAATATAAAACAAACACAAATACTATTAAATTATTTGTAATGTCAATAGCAGCCAAGAACTATCTGACTTGGTTAGTGACTACATAGACTACATATTATAACTTATAATTTCAATTATTTTCACATTAAAATATCACATGCCACATTTATATTACTATTATAAAAAAACATAATAATTATCAATAGATTAGCTACACAAATAACATGAAATATGAATATTGACTGAACACAGCTACCATTATATTTATTTACAATACATTATCCACAGGCAACATTGAACATATGACTGTATTTTTAAACTAACCATTAAACCATTAATTAAAATACCTTCTGCAGTCAAATTTAGGCAGGATTCTGTTGTAGCCGGAGAAATGCCCAYGCTGTTATTAATATTTATATTATCATCAGTGTCATCAACTATAGTTAAGAATAGACAAATTAAATATTAAAACTTCATAGTAGATTATGACAACACACACAAAATAATTTAATGAAACTAAACTTACTCATAACATCTGCTGATTTTTTTAAAAAAAAATCCGTTATAGTAACCTTAGTGTTAGTATGGTTAGGTTTAAAGTCGACTTTTCTTTTGTTTTTATTAAGTTCATCCATAATTATTATAGGTACCCAGTCAAAACTATAATAGTAATTAAATTAAAACTGAGACAAAACACTCAAAACAGTAAAACACAGTAACGTCTAGTCTAGATTAAAAAGTTGTCAATTGTCATCGAGCGACGAGCATAAGAGTAATAAAAGTAATCAAACAAACAAAATGATAAGCTCAATCCAGCCGAAAACAATTTTATATAATCTGTGATAAAATAATCACAGAAATTAGATAATCTATAGCTTGTGATAGTCGTGTTCATGGTACTCTTTTTAAATTTTAACCATATCGCTATCTAKTGACGAATTAGCTTACTGCATTATTTGATTATTGTGAAATAAATAATTTCCACTTAATTTTTTTAAGTATGAGCAGTATGACAATTAATTGAGTAATCAATTCATATTTAAAATATTGATGTGATCCATGGTTATAATGAAAATTACATTATATTACTATTGTTAGCATTTGCAATTCAATAACTAAAATATAATATAATATTTTTGACTGTTGTCTGTGGGTGCAAAATGATACTTTTGCCCCCCTAGAAAAATTGTCGTGGGTGCAACTGCACCCTCATGCCCCCCCCCCAGATGCCGCCACTGGTTGATCTTGTGAAGGTTGTCTTGAATATGATAGAGTGTCTTGAATATTATGAACATTTGTATTTTGATTATATGATGCCTCTTTACAAGCATCATCAACCAATTTCATAATGTTAATTTTTAACTTTCTTTTATTCTGTGCATCTAATGATTTAATATCAGGTAATTAACTCTTTAAAAAGTCCATATCATGGTCGTGTAATTCTTCTGATTTTTTTTGGGATCTTTTTTCTTTAAAATACTCAGCAGCTGCAACATTAAGTTCATCTAATGAAGAGCATTGTTGTTTTTTTGATGAACTATCTATGCCACTTTTTTTCTTGATACATTTATTGATACTATGTGTATCTGTCATAGATCCTTCTCCATGTTCATAACCATATTCCATTTCATCTACTTCTAAACAGTCAACACTATTTTCATTTACTGGGAGACTTGTAAGGTTGCCAGTTTGAGGTCGGGATGTAGTGTAAGGGTCAATAAAATGTAAATAATCAGTGAGGTAATACACTTTCTTTCGTTTAGTCCCTGATCCACTTGGCGGCACATCTTTAATTTGGCGTAAATATCGTCCACGGATATTTCGCCACTTTTCTTTACACTCAGCCACTACAAAAATTAATAGGAATAATTATAATATTTTTGACACTTAAAAACTCAATAATATGTTCATTAAGTGCATAATATAAACATATACTCATACAGTTATAAAAAAATTAATATGATGTAAGTACTATGAGTTGTTTACTACTGTTTAGATACCTTGCAATGRGAGGTAACGTTAAAGCACACTCCATGTATTTTTTGAGAGGCGAGTCTACTACCAGGAATATCATTGCAGAAACAACTATAGCAATTTGGGAATGTCTAAAGGAAAAATATATGCCGCCACCAACAAAAGAAAAATGGAAAAACGTTTCGCAACGTTATTTGGATTTATGGAATATACCCAATTGCTTAGGTAAATTCCACACTAAAACTTCTGCCTAAATTAAATTATAATTGTTTTAGATAATTTGAAGAAAAAAATGTTATTTTGTAGGCGCTATAGATGGGAAACATTTTAAAATTAAATGCCCTCCAAAAACGGGATCAGCTTTTTTCAACTACAAGCAATATTTTAGTATTGTTCTAATGGCATGTGTAGATACTAATGGACTTTTTTTGACCATTGATGTTGGTGATTATGGTAGGAACAGCGATGGTAGAGTGTTTAGAAGAAGTTCGTTAGGCAAAGCCATTGATAATGATTTGCTGGATGTCCCTGACCCAAAGCCTTTACCTGGCTGGGGCTCCAAGGGCCCTTTCCCACATTTTTTTGTAGCAGATGAAGCCTTCCCATTGAAAAAAACCTGATGAAACCTTTTCCCAAAAGATCATTAAATAAAACCAAAAGGATTTTTAATTACAGGTATGTAAACTGATATTAAAATAAATATGATATTAATGAAACAAATATTCAAATTCTATTGTATCTTATGCTATACAAATAATATTATTTAGATTTTTGTTTGAACTATTAAATTAAGAATTTTTATTGTTTAAAAATTTATCTTTCAAATGCTATTGTATTAAATTAAATTAATTCATGTAACTGGGTTTATAACCATATAATATTTTAATTAATTAATTAATTAATTAAAATAACTTATTTATCCACTTATAACATATAACTTGGAACCTAACCTAAGAAKACTTCATATTGGCATTAATTAATTAATCAATTAATAATAAATAGGTATAACATTGTAAAATGAATTGTCTATCTTTATTTATTTAGGTGCTCTAGAGCCAGAAGAAGTGTGGAATGCTCATTTGGAATGCTTGTTTCTAAATTTAGAGTGTTTGAGCAACCTYTAGCTTGTAAGGTGAAAACATGTGAATCTGTTATTAAAGCAGCATGTGTTCTGCATAATTTCATACGTGTGCGGAAAGGTACATTTTCTACACCGTTACATCCTCAATCAATAGATTCAATGGGAGTACAAAATAATCCAGAACTACCACTCATTCAAGTAGCAAGACCCACAAGAGTTGCAGAAAATAACAGAGAGTTATTGTGTAATTATTTTATATCAAATGAAGGTCAGGTACCTTGGCAAGAGAATTTTTCTTAATGCACATTTGATATAGGTAAATAATAAATAACTTTTAAATGTAAATTTAACAGTTTCAAATAAATARTATGAGATATCTTATTGATGCAAAAAATATTGTTATTGAACTCAAACTAGCTTCAGGATTATTGTATGTATAATAATATGATGAACCTATGTTAATTTATAATGTAGTAGTCACTTAAAATCTAGGTATAAATATTAAAATATTAATAATATTATTTTAATTAAATTATAAGACTGGGCTTCTTATAATAAATATAAAACATTGGTATTTGTTTAATACATTTTTATAAAATCTAAAACCTATGTAACTAGGAAGTAACATTTATTGCCATTAGTAATTAATATTTGTCATTTTGTCAATAATATTTAAAAGAATAAAAACAAATAAAGTGAACGATCACATTTACTTGCCTCCTTGACAATATTATTAAAAATTATTATAACCTTGAGGGCAGTGTTGGGAAAAAAAATTACTTATAAACTTTAATCATCGGTTAATCATAGAAAATGTTTGCTCAATACTGCCTGAGGGCACAAACTAGAACAGAGTARCTGGTGAACAAAATTGTGAATAATTGTAAATGATTTAGCATAGGTGTTCATCATTGTCACACAACACATGTTTTATATTTATTATAAGAAGGTAATTTAATTAAAATGATGTTATTTACCTGATAAATTAATTTCCTTAGCAATTTCATTCCAAGCTGCTGTCTTGACTGTGTCATTAGAATAATCCCCTCTATTATAGTCAAAAAGACATGGGTGGTTTTCGATGTGCCTAACCAATTGCACCATTTTTTCACAATCCTCCACCATTTTTATATGTTTTTGTTGTAAGAACTTGTATAGTTGTATTGGTAAATATATTTTTAAAAAGTACCAAAAACGATTATTAGGTAGTTTGAAGTTTGATAAAATGATTACAGTTGACAACGTATAACAACTTAAATATTTTAATACTAAGGGAGATATTTAAACAAAGTAATATAATATAATATAATATAATATAATATTTTAACAAAGTATTTTACTTTGTTTTTGCTGCGGCACCGCATACGCAGAGAAAAAATGTTTAATAAAAAATAAAAAATAATTCGGAACTATYTATTTATTTAATTTATCCAAATAATATTATTTAAATAATAAGGTACCTATCATAGATTTTGTAACATCAACTTGGTAAGTAGTAATAAGGTACCAATAAACATTGTATCTGGTTAATAGTTTGGTATAATAATAAATACCCAGCCGTTCATTGTTCTATGAAACTGGTCATAACTGGTTCTATGATACTAGTTATCTCATAGGTTTGTGGTTAATGGTTATATTTTTGTTTATATACCTAGTTGGGCTAATTCTATTTTCTCCATTCAATTCGTGATGTCGAGTAGGTACTGTAGTACTGAATAGAAGTGTAGATTCACTATTCACTAATCTCTAGTATATTATTATAGTCAGTAGTCAGTACTCAGTTCAATACACAGTACCTACCTATTTATAGTATATATTAGTAATAGAATAATTACCAAAATTTTGTACGATGACTGAAGAAACACTTACCATTAAACTTGTTCAAGAGATAGAGAAACATGATTGTCTGTATGATTATTCAAAAAAATCATATAGCAATGATCGAGCCAAGACAAGTGCTTGGGATGYCATATCAAAAACCGTCAATATTTCAGGTGAAAAGTTATTCTATTACAATAATATGGTAATTTTTATTATTATTATTAATAGAGCTTGTGTTTGGTATAAGGCTACCTATTGTTATGATTAAAAGTAGGTAGAGAATTTTTTTAATTTTTCAAATCAACACAACAGTTAATTTTCTTATTAATTTGATAACAAGGTATTTAAAAAATTCTAAAGTAACTACCTAATAACTAATAACTAATAAGTAATKACTTATATTTTCCAGTTAATTTAAAAAACATGTGACCAAGGTTTTAATTATTAAAAGTAAATAAATTAACTTCTTTTAACTAAGAGAATTAAGTTTAAAAATATTGCCATAGCTATTAACTTTAAACATTTTTGAGTTAAATATGATGTTTGCTTACTATTAACAGTATTAACTTATAGTTTAATGTTCTAAATGATAAATTAACTTAACTGACTGAACTTTTTTCATTAATTTGCACCCCTTTGGTTATAATATTGCTTATATTATAGGTTCCTTGTACCTACTACCTACTAGYTTTGATTATAAATAAAATTATAATAACTTGTAAAATATTTCGGTAGAAGCAAGGCTAAATATATTAGCCATTATATAATTATTTAGCTATAGGTGGAAGTATTAAAATATTTTTTTTACAATATTGACCTACCAGCTAGATATTTTTAATAAATTCTTTACTTAAATTCTGTAACAGGGTCTATTCTAAGGATTTTTGTCAACAACACATTACATTCCCTCTGCCCCTCTATCAAAAGTCACATTTATAACTCTACTCTTAACTATTTTAAAACATCATTCTAAAATATAATTATATAACAATAAAACTAATAAACATTGCAAAAATGAATACATTTCGACCAAAACATTTGTCATTATAAATATAGTTTTAAATATAAGTATAGTAAATAAGTATAGAATTGTAATGTGTAATATAATTATAAAAAATAAATTTCAATACTTCTAATTATAGGTATGTTAAAATTCAATATAATATAATATTAAACAGAAAAGTAAATTGGAATTGAATCGAAAGAAACCAAGGCCTGCAAATACCTATTATAAATTATGGTGACCAGACGTACTATTTTTCATAGGACAGTACTCTTTTTTGATACATGACCTAGTGTCCTTAACAATAGGTAGTGTAAAGTACATAAAAYTGTACTCTTTTATGGAAAATATTAAGGGCTAATACCACAGACTTCTATATAATATTRTATAGAAGTCTGTGGCTAATACATCATGTTTATAATTTTTATAATTTGATATTAATTTATAGTTTGTGGTTCAAACTAATGCAATCTAATATGGTTATTGGTATAGTATAGTTAATTTAATTTGTTATCTGTTAATATGTTTCCTACATATATACACAATAAATATATTACACAATAAATTATTAACAAAGTTTTATATTT